TGCGAAAGGGCCTCTCGCCTACTGTCTGCTGCTCTGGCACCGGTCTTTCCAGAACCCTTACTCTAGCACCGGAGGTCAGGGTATTTTTAAACTAGAAGAACTAGCCAAGCTGGTGTTTTTTTTTTTTTTTTTTTTTTGAAGTCATGGAAAAGGAAAACTAAGATTTGTTTTTAATCATTAGACTTTCAAATCTAAGAAGGCATGATGCAAATAGCACGTTGGCATAAACCATTGCTGCCTGCTCTGTGGAGAGAGGGAGCCATTCTTCTGAGCTAATTTAAGCTAAATACATGGCAGCTATTTTTCATCTCTACCATTGTGTAACTTTCTCCTCAGCTCACGGTCCGGAGATGTTATCTGGCAGGGGGTGGTGGAGGAGGAGAAGGGGAGGACGGAAACCAAGGGGCAGGAGATAGGGATTATGCTCAGTCCCCAAGCCAGTTAGAAGAATTTCAAGAGCCAGGAGCAGAACTGGGAGTCTAGTAGGACCCCAGAGGCTTTTATTTGGGTGAAAACTTCTAGGCAAGGAAAAAGCCAAAGAGCAAGTGGACCGAAGTTCCTTTTCTTTCATTCTGTATGCAACACTCCCCAACTTCCTATCAGAGTCTCTCTCTCTCTCTCTCTCTCACACACACACACACACACCACCTTCCCTTAGGTCCTCAGACCTTCCAGCCCAGCTATTACTGGCTGGGGGCAGAATGCAGGCCTTGCAGGGAAGCTGGCCCCTGGACATGACTTCTCTCTAAGCAGGTAGATTAACAGGCAGGATCATGTCCAGTGTCTTAATTCTGTGTTTTACAGACTCCATGATGGAACAGAAACTTCTTTAGGGCCCTATGGGCTACCAGCTGTCAGCTATAGCCCAGTCTGAAATGACTAGGTTTCTGGAAATTTCTGAGGTTCTAAACTCACCACTTCCTTGAAGACTCCCAATGCCAAGGCTTCACTCTTACCCAGCAACCTTCCCTGTTTACATCTCGTTAACATTTACTGAGCACCTGCGAGGTGCTGTGGTACTGTGCCAGGTACTGTGCCAACTACCAGCTTACCTGGTACAGGTAAGCTGTATAGGTGAGATGAGGAACTCAGCAACAGAAGATCTCCAACCACCTTTCTGCCTCAGCTGATTAACAGATGAGGGTATGACGACAGGGTGTGGAAAGACTTGGGGTAAGGAGCACCCTTACAGAGGCGTGCTTGTGAGGGCTGGGGTGGGGAGAGGAAGGGAGCGCGGGCCAGGGAGCAGGTCCCCTGGGGCGTACTTGGAAACTTCCTTCACAAAACTGGAAAAAGATGCAAGTGTGCCACTGCATTCCCCGGCCACTGAACCCCAACATACAAGCAGACATGGCTATCACCAGTCACCTCAGACTGGGCCACTCAAGCCAAGTGGCCATCACACGGGACAGGCTGCCCATATGCCCCGTGGTGGTGAAGCCCGGGACAGCTGGACCCCAGGGACAGGGGTGTCCATCGGAGGCCAACGTTTTGTGAAAGCAAAAGCGAAAGCCTGACCCTCATGGCCCAGCATGGGAAGGTGAGGTCTGCCCCGGAGGGGCCAAGCTGAGCAGTCAAGGTACACAAAAGGTCTTTAGAGGAATTGTGTCCCCTCCTCCTGAAGAAGAGACTTTCAAGTCCTAACTCCAGACCCGCAGAACGAGACCGTATTTAGAGAGAGGGTCTTTGCGGGTGGAGTTGGTTAGGATAAGGCTGAACAGTGGCGAAGGAAGCCAAGGTGTCTGAGAGAAGTCAGCCAAGGGAAGACAGACAGAAGGCCGCGTGGGGGAGGCAGAGATGGGAGCCACACAGCTACAAGCCAGGAGTGCCGAGACGGCCCGTGAAACCGAGACCAGAGCCAGGAAAGAGGCATTGGGGCGCTGGAGGGGGGTGGCCCCGCCGCCATTTTGATTTAGATTTCCAACCTCCAGACTCAGGTGACAAACGATTCCAGCTTTAAGCCACCTGGTTTATAGAACTTTAGTTCGACAGTCCCCGAAGACTCAGACTGAGGGGCCAGGGGATGCTGGTGGCACATGTGGAACAAGGCCAGCTGGCAGGGGACGGGTGGGCGAAGGGAAGGCTGGCAGGGGATGAGGACGGGCACATTTGTGGCCTCTGGGGTGAAAACAACTTGGGAAAGAAAGTCAGGGATGGGAGTGGGCCTCTGCGAGTCTCGAGGAAATGACAAGGTCTCTGCTGTGCAGGGGCTGTGTGCCCTTCCCTCCACCTCCCCACACTCTGAGCCCAGCCGCGTGTGGGTGGCTGGGGTGGAGGGGGACTACAGAGCTTAACTGAGGTTAGCCAGGTCATAATGTGGGACCCTGGCCGATGACTGGTGTCCTCAGGAGGGGGCCAGGTGCTACTGCTCAGAGAAGACGCTGCAGGAAGTCAACTGTCTGCAAGTCACGGAGAGAAAACTCTCTGTAAACTAGCCCCGTCCACCCTCGGCCTTGGATTTCCAGACTGGAGAACTGAGAGAAATACATTCCTGTTGTCGGTTGCACTTTGTCATGGCGGCAGAGCAAACCAGCAGTCATGACATCCAGCTGGCCCCTCCACCCACCAGAGTGGTCACACTGGGGATCACAAGTCCACAGGCGGGCGCTCTGTCCCCACCAGGCCGACCTGGTCTTGCTGGAACGAATTCTTGCCCTCTCTCACCCCGGCTCCTGTTCCTCCCTGGGAGTCACCAACACGTCAGTTTCTTCTGCAGACAGTCCGCTAGATCAGAGGCTGGCAAAAGTTCTGTTTCTGCTTTATGAGCCACCCTGTCTCTGTTGCAAGCTGTCAAGTCCATGGTTAGCACAAAGAAGCTGGGGTCACTGTATAAACGAGTGTGTGTGGCTGTGCATAGGTACAACTTTGTTTATTGACACTGGTATTTGAATTTCATAGAAATTGCTTCCTGAAATACTACTCCTCTGATTTCTCCCAGTTAGAGAATACAGTAACTATTTGGCAGGTCAGAGATAGTCTTTTGGCCACGATTTACTGAGCTCAGCTCTAGGCTTCTCAAGGGAGTGGCTGTGTGTGGGCTGAGGGGACCCACTTTCCTTCATGCTCCTTGGGTGCTGAGGCCCAGGTGGAGTGGAGTGGCGGGAGGGGCGGGAAGTCCCAGTTCGTGTGTGGTGTCGGGGTGGGACGTGGGAAGAGGTCAGAACCAGGCTTTCCAGAGGTCACTGTGCAGTCACTGGAGATCAAACGAGGCGTCTACTGACTGGGAATCAGGACAGGAGGGGAAGGAAGAGGAGGCCCTGCGGCGAGACAAGACTTTCCTTTTGACCAGTAGCAAGAAAGCCAGGACTGAGTTTCTAACTCTGCTGGGGGTGGCAGCAGGCGGGAAGATCCCCAGGTAGAGCTGAGGGGGTCCCTGGCCAAGGGACCATGCTTAATGAAAGAGCTGTCACTGGGGGGCTGGGTGGGATGCTGTGTGCGGATCCACACACCTTCAAAGGCCAGGTCTGGGTTCCTGGGGAGCCCTCGCCTGCGGACGGGCCGGCTGGGGAAGCCTGCGGATGTGCGGGTGTGCTGCAAGTGACACACACAGGCAGGAAGTGCTGTCGACACTGAGCCCCAGCAGCTGCCATGGGCCAAGTGCACGCACCCTGCATGCTGGGCTCTGCAGGGCGAGTCACAGGCAATTCTGGCCACCACAGTTCAGAAATAAACACACCCCCTTTGTGCCCTCTGCAAAGGAATAAAGAACACGAGCTGCTCTCAATACATCGCCAGTGAGTGAAGTCTGAGGTCAGCGGAAAGCAATGGTTTGATTCCTTTTGGGTTGAAATGTCTGCAAATTCCAGCTGGTCTCAGAGCAATACAGGGCAGTGTTGCTGGGGAAGGGGGTCAGGGAGGGACTGAAAAACCCCACCAGGTTGGCTGCAGGGGTGATGAGAAAGGAGGGGACCATGGAGGACTGGAGGGAAAGGGGAGGTGTCAAGACAGGTGACACAGGCCGCAGGGGACCCTGTTCTACCAAGCAGAGAGGCTCCACTGCAGCAGGGGAGACTGGGGTTCACCCTAGATCCCGCAGACTCCGTCCTCAATCTCAAGCTGGTGCCCGCGAGCAGATGGAAGATGAACCCACGGAGACCACGGTGGGCCTGCCAGAGGCTCTGCGTAGTCACTCAATCACTCTGGAAACGAGAGAGGCAAGAGGAGGCGGGCTGCAGGCTGGGAGCCTTCCAGCGTGGGGTGGCTGACCCGGGCTGCTGCTCCCGCCCTTGTTTCCTCCAGGACAAGGCCCACGACCACGATGGGAGTCCACAAACTGAGCCAGCCTGCTTGGGTCACAGTGAGCACGGCCCCCGGGCGGCTGCTGGACAGAGCCCTGGCCCAGCTCGGTCCATGGGGAGGGGACTTGTTTGGACAGGGAGGCAGCCGCTGACCAGAGCTGCCCCAGCAACCCAAGCAGCAGGCCTGTGCCAACCCGTGCCAGATGCCCTTGAGCCCCATGGGTGCCCAGAAGAGGAACAGCCCACTCGGGCCTGTCGTCTGACCCCGGAGAGTGCCCGGTGGGGGTTTGGAAGGCCTCTGGGAGGCCACCAGACCTCCCTTGGCCAGGGCCTCTGGAAGCGACTAGTTTCACCACTCTCCCAGTTGGGAGCAGATGCAGATCCCAGAACACACACCAGTCTGGGGGACCCCAAGGTGGGGAAGAAGCCCACATGTCCAGTGGGACGTCAAGTCTGAATGCAGGCCGGGTGTCTGGGGCCTCAGTCCTCCAGGGGAGGGAGACACCTTGACGACAAGTTCATGACCAGAATAAAACCAAGACTGGGCATACCCAGGAGGCCCAGGGGCATGCTAGTGCCCTGCTAGGGGACAGAGGTCAGCGTGGTGCCAGGTCCGATGAACAGGACCCAGGGCTCCGAGCACCCCACCAGGTGAGGAACAGAAACATGAGACGCACCCTCCCCGCTCCCCCCCCACCCCCCGCCGCCCCCAAGCCGCCTCTTCTCCCTGTACTTGCGCCCCAGGCAGTGGAGAGGCTTCGGCCCAGGGTGAAGCGAGTGGGCTGTGGACCCCGGGCGGGTGGCATGGGCAGACTCCCGACTCCTGCTGGGGAAGCCCCGCCAGGGCCAGGTGAGAGCAGGAACCTGAGCAGGCAGCCTCCGCCTCCCCTCGGCCAACAGACTTCTTAAAGTGAGTGGGCGGGCTCCTCCGTGGACGGACGCTGTGCGGACGCGTGCAGCCCCGCACTGGGGTCGGGGCCCTGAGCCGCCACACGGGCTGGACACTGGGATGCTGTCAGTGCCAGAGAGGGGGGAACAGGTCTGTCCAACGCCCTCCCCAGAATGCTGGCTCTCAGGCCAGATCCAGGAGGTGTCAGGGGTGACAGTGAGCTTTGAGGAGCCCCAGAAGCTGTTTCAGCCAAGGAGCCACTGTGCTCTCCCAGTGGCAGGGGGTGGCGTAGGGTGGGGGGAAGGGAGAGCAGTAAAAGGGGTGAGGCTGGCACAGAATAGGAGATAAGAGCCACTGGCCTCCTAGCGGGACCCAGCACTCAAAAGATGCCACGTACCGTGGCCAGCTGGGCAGCTGTTTCCCCAGGAGGCCGCTCGGGGCCCACTCCCCACTGCCCCTCACCCCTCCCCTGCAGCCAGACTGGGTCCAGGGTCTCCACCAGGCTGATGCTCGGCTCTGCGTCCCGTCCCGTTTCCCCAAGGCGTGGCTGGCACCCCCCCACGGAGAGCAGACCCCACAGGGCTGTCATCGAGGGGAACGAGCAGGCGGCGGCGGGCACACCCGGACACAGGGACGCAGCCTGGCACGCAGCCCGGGCCCGCGAGCCTGCCCACGCAGGCCTCCTGTCCTCGCCGCCTCGGCTGGGGGCCCCGCTTCAGCCGACGCTCTACGCTGTCCTGGGGCCTCACTGATCAACTGCACGTCTCCTTGGCTCAGGGGTCCCCAACCCCGCCTGAGCAGAGGGGCACGGGTCTGGGGTGCAGGGAAGCCACCGAGCTCATTCGTGCGGTGCTGCCAGGCTGGCCAGGTCGGTACCCTTGCATGGTGAGCCGCTGGCCTCCTGGGCTGGCAGAGGGCAGAGCAGGGGAGGAGAGGTGGCCGGGAGCTGAGGCAGCAGAGCGCTGTCCCTTTGTCCAGTGATCACAGCCTGGAGGGGGAGAGAAGGGGAGAAGGAGGAGCGGTCACACGCAGGACAGCGGCATCCCCTGTGAGTCGGCACCCTGCGGAAGGCCAGGCCGTGAGGTGAACTGTGCCTGCCTCCACAGGGTGGGCAGGGCTTCTGTGTGCTGAGGCCCCACTGCGTGCCGGGCTCTGGGCCGGGCAGGGCACACGCCTGATCGCATTCACACCCGAGAGCGCCTGCAAGAGACACCGTTTTCCACAATTGAGACAACTGAGGCTCAGAGGGGTTAAGTGCTCTGCCCAAGGTACACCGCCAGGAAGCAGCAGGGTCAGGCTGTCCCCTGGCGCACACAGCTCTGGAGCCCAGGGCCGCCTGGCGCGTGAGTGAGCCCTGTGGTGCTGTGTGCCGTGTTGGTGCTCAGAACCTCTGGTAAGCGCTGGGGCCGTGGGAAGAGGAGGTGAGACTGGACCCACACCAGACTTCTGCTGAGTCAAGGCTAGGCCGGCCGGGTTGAGCAGGTTCTGGGCAACCAGAAGCCAATGTTGGGGCCCATTTCCCCACCATGTTCTGGAAAAAGAGCCAGAAAGTACCCAGGTCATCTTTGCCTAGGAGGTTGCGGAGTGGAAGGGTCAAGGTCATGTATTTAGAGTCCAGACCAGCCTGGTTCCCTGCCTGCTCTCCTCCTTACTATGGGCCCCGTGGGAAGCTCTTAACCTCTGTGTGTTGGGTTTCTGGTGAGCAAAACCTTCCAGGGTGGGACCCTGCGGGTTCCTGAGATAACACAGGCAGACTCGTGGTCATGGCACCGGTCACACATGTGCGTCGTCATCGTGCCCAGGTGACTTAGGTCACTGTGGTCACGGTGATGGTTTAAACCAGAGCTGGGCATGGGCAGTGCCACGCAACCTGAGAGGCCGGAAGCAGGGACTCGAACACAGGCTGCGGGGTAACGCTCACGGCAGCACGATGGCCACAGCCCAAAGAGGCAAAGAAGCCAGCCACAGAGCACCGGATCAGCAACATGGACGTGCGGCCAGGAGAGGGGACAGGGGTGGGCTCCGACGCGGGCTCTGGTGTGCACGGACCTTGTAAACATTAGGCGAAGTAAGAAAGCAGATGCGAAAGGGCAAGTACTGGGTATTTCCACTTGCATGAGGGAGCAGCGAGGTAAGAGGCTTCTGGGGGCGGAGGGATGGGAATGAATATTGAACGGCTTCTAGCAGAGCTTCTGTTTGAGGTGACAGTTTTGAAAATAGTGGCAATGGTTTTACAACACTGTGAAGTAATTAATGCCACTGAATGAACGGCACACGTAAAATGGTTAAAATGGAATTTTTATGTATATTATACGGTTACAAAATGAATAATGTAGCATGGAGCTACACGTTTTAAATGGGAGAATTATAGTGCTATGGAACTGTATCTCAACAAAGCTGCTCAGAAAAGAGAAATGCTATGCAAAGCAGGGGCGTCATTACAGTTTCTAGCAGTTATATTTTCAAAAGTAAAATAAAAGGTAAAATTCATCTTCTAGCATCTTTTAGTTGATGCTAAAAGCATCAATCTAAAGCATCATAAGTTCAGTGTGTAACTAACACTGAATATGTAATGTAACAAATGACATTGCGTTTATTCCTGCATCTTCAGTTTTTGAAATTCACAGAACCTCTCCACTTAGACTCGTCACATTTTGTGTGTTCAACAGCCACACAAGGTCCTGGCCCAAATGCTTGCCACACAAAGTCTGGGCCATGGGCCCGCAGCAACAGTATCACCTTAGCTTGCAGAAATGCACATTCTCGGGCCCGACTCTGCATTCTGAGATGCCCTAGACAAGGACGCAGGCTTGCTCCACCCTGTCTCGAATTCACTGTGTGCAATCTAGAACCTACCGGGCTCTGGAAGTCACAGCTGCTCAGAGGTGACGCACTAGAAAGGCAGACCTAAGCCCCCAGAAATGAGATTTAAGCTAAAGCTCACGTCGGGCAGCACGCCCGCTCAGCTGTGCCCTGGAGGCCTCCTCGGTGGATCAGGCGTCCTGTATAGGACCCAGACTGCAGCCAAGCCTCCTCAAGGCCACCAGGGGCTCAGGCGGCTTCTGGAAGGAGCGCCAGAGTGACCACCTTAAGCACAATGAATGTGGCCAAGGAACCTGCAGGGGCTCAGGTTGTGGGGAGAGGGAGCCCAGACGAGGGGGGCAGAGGCTGGCCTGTATTCCTGGCTTTGCTAGCAACGGCAGACACGGTTACCCCGCAGATATGCAGGTACGGGTGAGCTGCTGGGCATCCCTGGGCCACAGCTCCTCAGTACATAAAAGGAGAGGTGGAATAATTCTGGGATGGTCGGGAAGGTATCCCATGTGCTGATTCTGAGTAACTGGGAGGCTTCCCGCCAAACTGTGACTCCGAAGCCCCTCTGCTCCCCTCAACTCCTGCCATCTCCTCCCTGACCCCCGAGAGGGCAGAAGTCACTGCATGATGCCCAACTGACACCTCCCATCCCCCCAGGGACTCTCCAGCACTCAGACACTGGACCCTCCCAAGCCCCTGGGAGAGCTTTTCACCTCCCGCTCCCTCTAGAGGGTGCCGCTGCAGCGCTGAGGCAGCCAACACATTGCAGGCCACAGAGTTACAGGTGCTGGCGCAGGTATTCCAATCCATGTGGGCCTGGCCATGGCGTCTGTCAATTGTCCAGAAAAAGCCCCTGGAGGAAGGAGCGATCTGCCCTCTGGTTCCAGGGGCTCAGCTCAAGGGGCGGGGCAAGGAGCAGCAGGGTCTCCAGATGCCCAGCCCTGGGGGGTGAGACAGATGCTGACAAGTGCGCGGTGGGCTTGTGCAAACAGGTGGGGGTGCAGGGTGTGGACCGCCACGTCTGTGTGTGGGCACGTAGCGGTGGAGTGCGAATGTGAGTCAGGGAATTCTCCCCTGCGTGCAGATGTCTACCTAAGGGCACCTGTGTGTGCTGTCTCGGCAGGCAGTGGGGAGCTGGCTTGGCTTGGTGGGCAGCCCCGTGCCGGGTACTTAAGTCCAGGAGCCCACTGGATCCTGTTGGGCTGTTTCCTGGCAACGTTCCTACGCATGCGTGTTTGTGTGTCTACCTACGTGTGTCTGCGAGGGCGGTGGAAGCACACGCTCTCGTGCGACGCTCCAGTGCACGCGTGTGTGTGTGGCCGAGTGTGTGTGAGAACCAGTGGCTGTGCTGTGGGGAGCAGGGTCCTCTCGGCAGCTTCATCTGGGTCTGGCTTGTTCTCACCGGCCCGACACATCAGCTGCCGAGGCTGGGGGAGGAAGGCTCCAGAGAGACGCCGGCCAGTGGCTTACCTCAGACAGAGCTGCTCATCTTGAGCCAGGGACAGGGAGGAGGAGCGGCGTGAGCCTCTCACCGATAAAGACGAGGCCGGAAAGAGACGGGGCCGGCCCCTTGGTGCCCTTGCCTGCAGCACTGGGGAGTGCTGGGAGCTGTGCGCTTTCGTGGCTCGGGGAGACTTCCGGCCTCGTGGAAGGAACACTGACTACCTGCCGTGGGGTCCGGGAGCCACTCTCCATGGGGCGCACAGACCCACTGGGCGTCAGCCATCACAGAAAGCCAACAGCGACGGCACCATGTGGCTGGCTTTAGGGGCTGCCCAGCTGGCACGCTGATCCGAGAGCAAACTCCCCTGAACAGAAATCTGTAGGGAGGATGGTGGGCACGGGGAAGGGGATGGGCATGAGAGGAGCTGGGGGCAGGAGGAAAAAGGTGGCCAAGGCCAGAGGACAGAAGCACCCTGGAGCGATGTTTAGGGAGAACACCTACTCTGCAGATTTCCAGAAGTGTCCGGGGTGAGACAGGCGACGGTTTCGCTTTGGCAGTTTCTCCAGCATGTCCATGAGCTTGGTGAAGGTAGGTCTCTCTTCTTGTTCAAAGGCCCAACAGAAGAGAAGAATGTCCTAAAAGAAATCAGCATGTGACTTCACATCCATGGTGACTTTCTGATCGCTTCTCGGTAGTTCAGTGTGTGTCTCTCCGTCCTGTTGCCTCACTCTCATGTTCTCTGCCATCAGCCATCTTCCCATTTACTCATTCACCTGTCATTACACATCTGTCCATCTATCATCTCAATTCATGCACTTATCCGACCCATCCACCCATTTATCTACCCACACACCCACCTACCTACTTACCCATTCATCTACCCACCTACCTTCCCACTCACTTCTCCACCTTCTACCCCTCCACCCATCTACCCCTCCACCCACCCATCCATAGCATCCAAGCTTCACCTATCATCTATCTGTCCATCCATCCTTCTACTCATCCAGTTCCTGAGGCAATGGAGCGAAACAGGTAACCACTGTCACGCAAGGCTTGGGGAACACTGAAAGCAATGTTTCCCCATGAGTTCCTAGGCACTTCTCAAGAGGAAGGTAGGAGGAGGAACCCTGAAATCTTCATGTAGATCTCAACCTGTGTAAATACCCTTTGAAGACACAGAGGGGACAAGGGCTTGCACTAATTTCCTTACCTAAGAAAGGAAACCTAGCACCTGGTAATCTTCAAAAATATACCAGGTAATTACTCTTTCCCTGACTTGTCTTCTGATCACAAGAGGGGATTCTTCCTACTGCTAATAATGACTATCAATCTGTACTTGGGCTTCTCAGCTTCTATAAATCTTGTTCTGAATTGGATGATGCCTTCAATTTTTGCAAGTAGCTGAAAATAAAATTAGAATCCCTGCAATGGGTGATATATTAATGAACAGATGTTTTAAGTAACAGAAAAAGAGGGCATCACTGATTTTATTGATGTAACAGTCATTGTTAGGCAGATGTTGGCCAACAACTTCTGTGCCTTCAATGGCGGGAGCCTGAACTGCAGGCACAGTTCAGCGCTGTGCCCTCTGAGGTCCAGATCACTATCTCACAAGGCCAGGGCATGCTTTTCTGACTCCTCTGGGAAAGTGTGTGTAATCTTAACATACAGGAAGACAGTCCAGGTCTGGGTATGTGTCTCCCTTGTTCCCCACACCTGGCACTATCCCAGGACTTACCGAGATTTCTTTTCCCATGCCGATCTGGCTGAGGTTGGGTTTCATGCCTGTGCCCATTTGCCAGATAATTGCCTCCGCTGGTTGAGTCTTGAAAGGCCACTCCCTGGCGTGGAGTTCATACCAGATTGTGCTGTCGGCAGATATCATTACAGGGATTTTGGTGTGACATGTCCCTGTGACATTGATCCTCTCACCAACATACAGCCAGTCTGCTGCTAAACACTCCATTCCCTAACTTTTCCCTCATGGGGTTGGTGTTTCACTACCTATGACACACTTAAAGCTTTCTCAATGTCGTGGGAGTCAGCTTATCCCAGGATGCTGTTTATGATGTCTAACTTCAAATGAATCTAAAACCTAGAACCCAAATAATTTAATATAAGGTGGCTAAGATCTCTGTGTTTTAATTCTAGGAAGTCACTGCAAGAAAATAATTAGGGAAACAACAGTTCATTTACAAGGATGTTCTCTACAGTGTTAAATATAATACTGAAAAGCAGCAGAAATAATGTAATTGTTCCATAATAGGAACTGGCCACATGCATTATGGTCAATTCATAAAGTGAATGGAATACCTTATTATTAAAGCATGTCCAAGAAATTTTACTGATATGAAAAAATGCTTAGTATGTAATATGAAGTATAAGAGCAGGACTTAAGATTATATACAAAGTATGATGTTAGTCTTAAAAAAAACACCATTCCATATACATGTCAAGATAATAAGAGAAAGCAAAATATTAACAATGGCCAACTCTCAGTGATAGAATTTCTGTTTCCTTTTCTACTTGTGTTTTTTAAGCATGAACCACCCTTTGGAATGGTGAAAAGAAAAAAAAAGGAGAAAGATCTGAGAGTCAGGCTGACTGACGGTCAGCTCTGACTCGACTCTGCACGGATGCGACATTGGGGGTTGGCTAGACCTCTCTGAACACTGGCTTCCCGCCTGCCGAGCGACAATAAATCTGTAGTGGAAGAGTGTTTATGTGGATGCTAAAAACCAGAGCAAATCGGCACCGGAATTCTTCTAAAAGGATTCACTCGTAAGTCAGGGCACTGTTAACCACGCAGGGGAGGACAGCACATGGAGACAGGCGCTGGGAACGAGTCTCCCCCACGCAGGGGGTCTCTGACACAATCCTAGGGAACAATCTTTCCGCTAATCTAATGTCAAATGCAAACTTGATTTAAAGAACATGACTGACTGTCCTTGTTGGCCTGAGGACTGTGTCAAGGCAGCTGTAGCTAGGATGCCGCTTCTCGGCATCGCCTCTCCCTTGCCAGCCCTCTTCCCCGGGGGAGCGGAGGGGTGCCCAGGTGTTGGATACTGAGTTAGATATAGAAAGTCCTCATATTAGGGTGCCAGGTGGTCATAGTTATCACAAAGAACAAGTGCACTGAGGTTTTTCTCCTGTGCTCAACACGATTCTAAGTTCCTTTTATTTACTGTGATTATGGGGGACACTGACATCGAGGTCTCATGCCCCTCCCACTTCGTGGCAAGGGAGCCACCTGCCAGTGTGTTTGCCACTGCTGCCCCCCCCCCCAATCAGGTTCATACTCAGGCCCTGCACAGGGCTCCCTTGCTCTCTGAAGTGGCCTGTCCCTTCTTGGCAGGATTGGGTGGGCGATCTGGACGCCCCAAGTCCATATCTGTCAAACTAGCCAACTGTCAACTGCTCCCCTGCCTCTTCAATTCCTCCCACCTTGCAGGGTGGAGGCTCTTGCTCCCGTCTGCCTCCTCTTGCCCGGCCACTTCCCCACGTGGCCCGCAGAGAATGCCATGGCCTCTCTTCTCTGGAACTGTAACAAACTGTCTTTTCAATTGCTCCCTGGTCTGTTGGCCTCGCTGTGCCTGACCAGCAATAAAACCTACATTTTGAAACAGGGGCACTGTCATTACCCCCACTTTGCGGCTCAGGAAGGCCATGCACCTTACCTGGGCTCACACAGCAAGAACGCCGTGCAGTCAGACGCTGAGCCCAGTCACGTGACTACAGAACTGTGCGGTGCCGGAAAACTGACTCTGTCCTGCTCAGAGTCCGCTGTGAGCCAGGCAGTGAGCGATCGGGGCGAGGCGCGGCCTGGCAGGGGTCTGGGCAAGGGGCACAGGCGGCAGCACCCTGGTGTGGAGGGTGGGGCCGGACGACTGGAGCGCCCTGCACCGGCACCCGGGCGTTTTCTCGCTCAGCCCTGAGCACGCCTCAGGGGTTTGTCGGCTCTGACTTCGGGCTGACAGAATGGGTGCCGACTCCCAAGTGGAGCAGCTCAGACCCCCAGCTCTGGCTGGGCCACCCCAAGGTCCCCTCCCCCGCACACTGGCTGCACAATGAAGTGCGTGCGCTCCCGGAGCCTCAGTTTCTTTGCCTGGCAACTGGGGGCGACAGTGGACCTGCGCAAAGGCTACTGGCGAAGACTCCACGAGCCAGCGGCCATAAAAAGCTTCCTGTGGTGCTCCATGCCCTGTGAAAGTCCATTTTTGTTCTGAGTCATGTCTGTGCATGATGTTCCCAAGCAACAAGATGCCCCTAATTGGCAGGAAACTAAGAGCACCAGGTCCCTCAGAATTCAGCAGTGTCGGGAATAAAAGCCTCATTAAAACTTCCTTTCAAATCCAACTTCCAGAGAAACTCACTTTAAGATATAAAAAAATTGCTAAAGATTAAAACTCCAGTGAAAACCAATTACTTTAGTACATTTTTCTAATTACATTCTTGTTTTCTCTTTTGCTAAATTTATACTAAGCTATACCAACATATACTTAGTTTCAGATAACAGTATCTAACTAGATAAAGATTTGGGCACAGACTAATCGGGGTGAGGAGTCTTTAAAGGGTCTAAGAGACAGAGGGGAGCCCTGGTGTGCCGGCCACCCCGCCACCCAGAATTTCAGCGGTGACCCGGGGGGGCAGGTGTGTCCAGCCTCACAGAGGCGCAGGTCTGCAGCCCACAGCTGCCCGCACAGCTCCCCAGCGTCACCCTGCCAGTCCGTGCCGTCACCCCACGAGGTACGTGGAGGGCTGGCGTGAGCCCTGGGGGCCGGGGCAGAGGTACCTCCATGACGCACCTGTTCAGGGCCCTTCCTGGACCCTCTCACCATTCCACCTCCCCAAAGGCACACTGTTCTCTCCCACGGCCACAGTTACTCTGCTTTTGCAGACAAGTCCTAACCTCCTCTTCTCACAACTCTTAGACATGTCGGTTCCATTGCCTCTGGCTTGTTTGCACTGACCCTCTCCCAGGTAACCGAAACGCACGGCGTCCAAATCTGAGCTCTTTGCCTGCTGGGCCTACCCCGGCACAGCCCCTGCCCCCCTCCAGGGCGTCTCTACTCTGGTGATGCCACCACCCAGCTTCGTAAGGTGGGTATCTGGATACCATCACGCCCAACTCACCACCACGCCCTCTCGCTCAGCTCGCCTCAGTGTCCTCCAGTCCCAGCTTCTGTACCCACGGGCAGCGTCAGTGCGGACACCAGCTCTCCTCCTGGACTGGTCCAGCCTCCACCTGCCTTCTGCTCTCTATTCTCAGCCAGCCCCCAAGTCCTTGCAGGACGAGGCTGCTTCCGCTCCCGTCTCTCATGGCGCCACCCGGCCTTTATTTTTCTCTTGCTTCCGTAGCCACAGGCTCCCTCTCCTCCCTGCTCCCTACAGCCTCCGCGGCAGGCAGTTTCTCCTCTGCACATTTTCCTTCTATCTGGAACGCACCCCTGCTCTCACCTAGCTTACTTACATTCAACCTCCACCTCAGACTCCGCAGTTACCTTCTCTGGGAAACCCCTTCTGATCTCGCCGAGACATTCAGCTTCTCCTTTATCCCTACTGTCCTCAGCATAGCGCCGCTCACACTTTGTTAAAACTGACTGTTTCCCACCAGACGAGAGAGTAGGGACCTTTGGTGGTTTTAAAAGACGTTCACAAGTTCTTTGATAGTCCTTTCTGCAAAAAGCAGACCTTAATTCTTGCCCCCTTGAGTGTGGGCTGGATTTGTGACCTGCTTCCAACAAACAGAGCAGGGCTCGTGAGGACAAGGTGGCTTCCAGCTGCCCGCTCGTGAAGTCACTGAAGGAGCCCAGGGAGGCCACCTGGTGAGGGCCAGCAGTGTCCTGTCAACGCCATGCGGGAGGGCCACCCTGGGAGGGGCTCCTCAGCCGGTCAAGCTTTCAGATGAGACCACAGCCCTGGCTGACAGCTTGGCTGCAGCCTCCGCAGAGATCCAGAGCCAGTGCAGAAACGCTCAGCTGAACTCAAGTTCCCGGCCACAGGAACTGGAGATAGTAAGTACTGTCCTAAGCCGTTAAGTCTTGGGTAATTCATGAATAGCAGGCATCCATAAAACAGCTACTGGATGAGTAAGTAAGTCACTGGAGTCAAGTAACTTGCCCACCACACAGCCAGCTAGAAACCAGGTATGCAGGTTTGCTAAGGTCACTCTAGTGTACCTCCCAATCTCACTCACCTGGGCCCCCACAGGGAGGTGCCCTGCCCCTCCCTAAAGCACCAGAGGGGGTCTTAGGAAGTGCCCTCTGCGCAGGCTGGGCCCGCAGGACCAGGGCAGGCCCCTTACCCGAGCGCGAAGACGTCCGAGTGCTTGGAGAACGGGAGCTTGTCCTCCTCCGTGTCGGGAGACAACTGGCGGATGATCTCTGGGGCAAGGTGGCACAGCCAGCCGCTCTGGATGCGCAGCTTGTCATCCCGCCTGGAGAAGGGGTGCAACGAGTGAGCCCACTCCCAGCACTGACCCCGTGCCCTGCACTCTCTCTGCTGTCTTTCTTTGCATCCTCCCACGGGTACTGCCTCGCTTTATACTTGAGGCTGAGACCCGTGGGGTGTGCAGGAGGCAGGGTCTGGAGAGAGACACTCCAACCTGCAAGCGTCATCGCACCCCTTCACCTCTGAGGTCCCCCTTCTCCAACTCCATTCGACAAATACAGTCAACTCCTGTTATTCACTGTTGTTACGATTTATAAGGCTTCCATGAGTTCCTGACTACAGAATCACTGTTCCTAGGGGAAAGACAGAGACTCATGCACCATGACGTTGAGAGACCCTCAGTAAGGCGGTGGTCCTCTAGAGCAGGGGATATGTCCGAAAAGAGGGGGCTTATTTCAGGTAAGAGGTCGCCGAAAAGAGTGGGCTTATTTCAGGTAAGAGGTCGATACAACATGAAGGGCCTGGTCATAGCAACAAGGACACTTCCGGCAGAAGGGGAGCCAGGCAGGTCCGAGGCAGGCTCTGCTGGGCCTGTGCGGGGTGTTCTGGAAACTCAGAGGCCGAGTCTCCACCTTCCCCTCTGCAAAACAGGCACAATAACTTGCACCTCCAGGGCCGAAGCAAGGATGGGAAGGACTCCTGGTGGTGTGGGCGGAGGTGGCTGCCGGACTAAATGACTAGCAGCCATATTTCTCTTGAGAGCTCGGGAATGCAGGAGAGACTAGAGCCCAGAGGCCATGCAAGAGAGCTGGGGCATGGCCTGGACCAGCTCACATTCTCTAGGCATAGGGGTCTAGGGGAGCAGGGAGGGTTGGTGGTGGTGGGGTTGTGTAGCTGCCAAAAGAGCAGACTCCCCAGAACCCCAGCTCTTCCAATGTCCCGCCACATCTTCCTGACTCGCTGGGCCAGTGGGGTGTGGATGTGCAGGGCTGAGCCAGGCGGGGGATGGGGGGGGGGCCCACATGCGAAAAAGCCCAGGGTGGGGGGGAGTGTGAACACGGAGTGAGGGGTGCCAGGAGCCAGGCCTGGCGGACTCCCTGGGGCGTTGTTCCCATGACGATGGACCCACCGGTGGCAAGCCCAAATCATCTTCATTAGGATTATTATGATGATTAATAACAGCTTGAGGCAGCTGGCACGACAGTGCTGGCATCTCAAACGACACCTTCTCCTGATGAGGGCAGAACAGCTGTGGCTGGGATGCTTCGGGGAAGCCTTGGAGTCTGCTTGGATGTTCAGGACACGGCACACTTCACTGCGGGACCCCCAGCCCCTCTGAAGCGGACAGAGTCCCCTCCCCGTGGCCACCTGCTGGGCACCAGTCCTGCCAACATCCAAGCTCTCACCAAGGGGAGGGCAGGAAGACAAGCACCCCTGCTGAGTGCCCGCTGAGTGCCCGGGGCCGTCCCTCATGAACCCTCAGTGGTGGACCCTACTCCATGGATGGGGACACTTAAGTGGCTGACCCTGGCATGGAGGCAACAGGGGGTAGAGTTAGGGTCAGTCTGAGTTCAAGCCTTTAAAATCCCAGAGGGTAGACTAGCCACAACTCCATGCGCATTCCCGGAGCAAGAACAACGTTCTCACCTAAGCGCTCCTCAGTTCTGTATCATTTAATCTTCAAATGATACAGCTACTATGAGTGCCAAGCCCCCCTCCCTGCCCCCCACAATTTACAGGTGAGCAAAAACTGAGGCTCAGGGAGCTGGATGTGTGCTTAGCAAGCGAGAGCCCGCCCTGTATGAAGTGCATGTGCTCCAGCCTGAGCCCCGACGTGAATTTTTGAAGCAGGGTTGTTAGGGTAAATGAGAGCCCAAGGTGGGGCCCTAACCCTATGGGAATGGGGACCTTATTAGGAGGTGGACAGGACACCAGACAGCGCAGGGTGCGGCGAGGAGGTGGCAGGAAGAGTTCTTGCCAGAAACTGAACCCTCCAGCACTCTGAGCCTGGACTTCCAGCTCCAGAAGTGCAAGAAATACATTTCTGCCATTTAGTACCAGTCGGTGCAATTTCACTACAGCAGGCAACGCAGACCATGTGGTTTGCTGACTCACTGAACGTGGGGAACTTCCAGGCCCTTCTCCTGCTCTTCCTGCAGGCTGACCAGCTCCCCGCCTCTCCCCTGGAACCCAGGCCCTAGGCTGCCCATCAGGCCCACCGATGCCTGATGCTCAGGGGTGTCCCCTGGTGTCCTGCTGCTGTGTGTGTGTGTCCTTCCCCTGAGTCTGCACAGGCCCTGGGGACCCACCAATGGAGAGAACACTGCGGGGTGGGGGGGACTATGGGATCCCAGCACCGTCCCTGAGAAAATGCTGAGGCAAGTACACTCGATGGGAAAGGGCCTGGAACTCCCGGGAGCCCCCTTCCCGCCACAGTTGTGGAGACTGGGGGTGTGGCAGGCGCAAGGAGGCTGTCTTCTCTTTGCTATCGCCTCCACTGAGAAGTGAAGTTGAATGTCCTTCCCCTGAGTCTGCACAGGCCCTGGGAACCCACCAATGGAGAGAATACAGGGGAAGGAATGTTCTAGGACTTTTAAGCCAGGGCACTAGGCTTGGTCTTGGTCTTGCAAACGCATACCCTGGGGAAGCTAGCTGCCCTGGGGGACTGTGGTGAGACCTGAGACCTCCATGCTGTGAGGAAGCTCAGGGTAGCAGGGCACAGCCTGGAGGGAAGGGGTGGGTGGGAAAGGGAAAAGTGGGGTGAGCAGTCCTGTCCGCCTGCACCTAGTCCAGCCACCGTTCCTGTGCGTGTGACCAGGAGGCCTTCGGTTGGTTTCAGCCTCACCTGATGGCACCCATGCAAGTGACTCTGAGCACGAAAGCTCAGTGAGCCCAGGTAACCTGTGGGGTAACAATAACCCGCTGCTCCAAGCCTCTACATCTGGGATGCTTGTTACACGGCAGTAACCCACATGAGGGGCAGAAGCACAGGTAGTCACGGATGGCTACTTGGGGTTTCTTTTGGGATATGTTGCTGAAGGCACCCCAGCCTCTCCAGACACTAACTGGGTGGTGCTGACAGCTAGGCTGGGGTGGGGGCGGGGCACAGTCCAGACAAGCCCAGAGCGAATGTGTCCTTGCCTTGAGCCCCCTTCCTGGGGGACACTGGGGTTCCAGGAAAACGGTACGGGCAGAGAAGCTCATCTCTCCATTGCTGTTTCTCCTTCCCATGGCTTTAGAAACCCAAGCACTGAAAGGGACAGTCAGAAGCCCCTCACCCCTTCCTCCACAGGGAGAATCCACTGGAACAGAACGGGGGAGTGGGCAGTTTTCCTCCGAGAGAGCAGAGTCTCTGGGGTCTTAAGAGTCTAGAACGAGGTTAAAGACAACCCCTGTGAGCCTCCTTTGTCTCAAGACAGATACTTGGGTTCACCGTGTTGTCACAAGCCTCTTCCCTGGCTTTAGCCTACGCTGGCAACAGGCCAAGGGCACTTCTGGCCACCCCTGAGGAGAAAACCTCAACCAAGAGAGAGGCTGAGGCTCAGCCCCTCCCCCACCTCCTCCTCCCCCGCGCTTCTCAGACTCTGACTTGACCAACTATCTCCATCATTGAGCTATCTGTTTTTCTACTACTTGTTTATTTTCTTATTTTAGGAGCTGTAAATAGCACTGATGTATTTTTTGTAGTGGAGTAAGACCCGAACAAGAAACTCAAGCAGCTGTCTTACTGCATCACATACAAGCAGCAAGATCAGGTTTCACCAAATTCTGGATTAGAGCCAAGGTATCACCTAGCAGTAGGCAACAGGGACCCCAGGGTGTACCTCAGAGAGATCAGTGGTTCTCCAGAGCAGCGACACTGGAGTAAAATGAGAGAAATCATGGGCTGCCTTTCTGGAGACAGGCCACGTACAGATGATGCGTGGTGAGAGACAGACAGGGGCTGAGCTGTGTGTGTGCGTGCGCACTTCATGAGAGACACGGCTGAGCTGTGTGTGTGCGTGCGCACTTCATGAGAGACACCAGGGGCTGAGCTGTGTGTGTGCGCCACCTCATGAGAGACACGCAGGGGCTGAGCTGTGTGTGT